GCGAGTATGACTGAATCATTACGCGGAGCGCGTTTCTTCACAAAACTGGATCTCAGGAGCGCCTACAACTTGGTGCGCATTAGGGAGGGAGATGAATGGAAGACAGCATTTAGTACCACCTCGGGTCATTATGAGTATCTCGTCATGCCATACGGGTTAATGAATGCTCCTTCAGTCTTCCAATCCTTTGTGGACGAGATCTTCCGGGACATGCATGGGCAGGGTGAAGTAGTGTACATTGACGACATCCTAGTGTACTCTGCTACACGGGCCGAGCATGTAGCACTGGTGCGCCGAGTGTTGGGTAGGCTGTTGGAGCATGACTTGTATGTCAAGGCAGAGAAATGTCTGTTTTTCCAGGAGTCCATCTCCTTCTTGGGTTATCGGTTGTCCGCGTCAGGGGTGAAGATGGAGGTTGACCGTGTGTCAGCCGTGCGTAATTGGCCAACCCCAACCACTGTTAAAGAGGTGCAGCAGTTTTTGGGTTTTGCCAATTACTACCGGAGGTTTATCCGGGGTTTTGGACAGGTGGCAGCTCCCATTACTTCCCTGCTGAAGGGGGGCCCGGTGCGTTTGCAGTGGTCGGCTGAAGCGGACAGGGCGTTTGGTAAACTGAAGGACCTGTTCACTTCGGCTCCGGTGCTGGCGCACCCGGACCCCGCTTTACCGTTCCAGGTAGAGGTGGACGCGTCAGAGGCCGATATTGGGGCAGTGCTGTCGCAACGGTCAGGCACGCCACCTAAACTCCGCCCCTGTGCTTTCTATTCTAAGAAGCTCAGCCCGGCGGAGCGAAATTATGACGTAGGGGACAGGGAGCTGTTAGCCGTAGTTCAAGCCCTAAAGGTGTGGAGGCATTGGCTTGAGGGGGCTCAACACCCTTTTCTCATTCTGACTGACCACCGTAACCTGGAGTACATCCGGGCAGCTAGGAGATTGAACCCTCGTCAGGCTAGGTGGAACATGTTTCTGACCCGGTTCGTGTTTAAGATAACGTACATCCCAGGGTCCCAGAACGGTAAGGCAGAACTGTCCAAGCGGTATGACACAGAGGAGAGGTCCATTGAGCCCACTCCCATACTGCCAGAGTCTTGTCTGGTGGCACCGGTGGTGTGGGAGGTCGATACGGAAATCGAGCGGGTGTTACGTACCGACCCTACTCCCCCAGAGTGTCCAGTGGGTCGGACGTACGTGCCGCTCGAGGTCCGTGATCGTCTCATTTATTGGGCTCATACGTCACCCTCCTCTGGACATCCAGGTATTGGCCGGACAGTGCACTGCCTTAGCGCTAAGTACTGGTGGCCAAATTTAGCTAAGGATTTGAGGGTTTATGTCTCCTCCTGCTCGGTGTGCGCTCAGTGTAAGGCGCCTAGACACCTGCCCAGGGGGAAGTTACAACCCCTGCCCGTTCCACAACGGCCGTGGTCTCACCTCTCGGTGGACTTTGTCACGGACCTTCCCCCCTCTCAGGGGAATACCAATATTCTGGTCGTTGTGGATCGGTTCTCTAAGGCCTGTCGTCTCATCCCAATGCCGGGCTTCCCTACTGCCCTACAGACCGCTGAGGCTTTGTTTACCCACGTCTTCCGGCACTACGGGGTGCCCGAGGATATAGTGTCTGATCGGGGTCCCCAGTTCACCTCTAGAGTCTGGAGAGCGTTCATGGAACGCTTGGGGGTCTCGGTGAGCCTTACCTCGGGTTACCACCCAGAGAGTAATGGGCAGGTGGAAAGAGTGAACCAGGATGTGGGTAGGTTTCTGAGATCCTATTGCCAGGGCCGGCAGGAGGAGTGGTCGGGGTATATCCCCTGGGCAGAGATGGCACCATGGCATCAGAGCCAGATCGAGGCTCCTGCGGTGGATGAGTGGTTTCGGCGCTCGGAGGAGACGTGGAACGCTGCACACGTCCATCTGCAGCGGGCCATCCATAGACAGAAGGCGAGCGCCGATCTCCACCGCAGTGAGGGTCCGGTGTACGCACCTGGAGATCGAGTCTGGCTCTCGACTCGAAACCTGCCCCTTCGCCTGCCCTGCCGGAAGCTGGGTCGGCGGTTTGTGGGGCCATTTAAAGTCCTGAGGAGATTGAACGAGGTTTGTTACAAGTTACAACTGCCTATTGATTACCACATTAACCCCTCGTTCCATGTGTCTCTCCTCAGGCCGGTGGTAGCTGGTCCTCTCCAGGACAGTGAGATAAGAGAGACTCCTCCGCCCCCACTGGACATCGAGGGGGCTCCGGCGTACTCAGTCCGGTCCATCGTGGATTCGAGACGTCGGATGGGGGGTCTACAATATCTCGTGGAGTGGGAGGGGTACGGCCCGGAGGAACGGTGCTGGGTGCCTAGGAGGGACATTCTGGATCCATCCCTCCTAACTGAGTTCCACCATAGTCATCCCACGCGCCCTGCTCCGCGTCCTCCTGGTCATCCCCGAGGCCGGGGTCGGCGCACGGCTGGGGCCGCGCGTTAAGGGGGGGGGGGTACTGTCACGGATTCTGCCGAGGCTGCTCCTCCTCCTTGCTCGGGCAGGCTTCGGCGTTCGTCGTCCCCGGAGTACTAGCTGCCAACGCTGGATGTTCTCGATAGTTGTTTGGTCTGGTCTTGTGTGTGCACCTGTTTCGTATTGAGTATTGATTATGTCACCTATAAGTTTCCCTTTTGGTTTGTTTGCAGTTGTGTGTAATTGTCCGCCTGTCCGATTGGTGTCTCGTTAGATGTTTAGTGTTTTACGCGTGTGTGCGTAATCGTTCGCCTCCTTTGTTTAGAGGCCTGTTGTTTTGACTTTGTGCATTCTAAGTAAAGTCATTTTGGACTTAGCCTCCTTGTCCTGCGCTTGACTCCACCACTGCATCCACATCAGTTTGCGTGACAATCTCAGCTCGTTACCTGTATAAAAGACACCTGGGAGCCAGAAATCTTTCTGATTGAGAGAAGGTCAAATACTTATTTCCCTCATTAAAATGCAAATCAATTTCTAACATTTTTTACATGCGTTTTTCTGGATTTTTTTGTTGTTATTCTGTCTCTCACTGTTCAAATAAACCTACCATTAAAATTATAGACTGATCATTTCTTTGTCAGTGGGCAAACGTACAAAATCAGCAGGGGATCAAATACTTTTTTCCCTCACTGTATCCCCTCATACTTATAATCAGTTTATTTTTAATTTTTCTGTCACATTCCTGAAGCCCAAGAAACAAACACTTAGATTCCTAGGACATATGGAAATTAAAAAGGTTTATGAATGACTTTTTGGAGGGTTACTGTCAAACTAATTAAAAATAATAATAATTGACATCGATGTTAGGCGCATGGCCCCGCAGAGCTCGTGGGCCCCTGCCTTGCGGGGCTGCGGGGGTGTCCGGTACGTCAATGAGTACCTTCAGAAAGTATTGACACCCATTGATTTTTTTCCACATCTACACAAAATACATAAAAAATAAAACCACAAGATATTCAACCTCCTGAGTCAATACATGTTAGAATCTCCTTTGGCATTGGTTATAGCTGTGAGTCTTTCTGGGTAAGTCTCTAAGAGCTTTGCACACCTGGATTGTACAATATTTGCACATCATTTTTGTTTAAATTCTTCAAGCTCTGTCAAGCTCTTCAAGCTCTTTCAAGCCAATTTAAGTCAAAACTGTAACTAGGCTACTCAGGAACATTAATTGTCGTCTTGGTAAGCAACTGTATATTTGGCCTTGTGTTTTAGGTTTTCGTCCTGCTGAAAGGTGAATTTGTCTCCCAGTGTCTGTTGGAAAGCAGATTGAACCAGGTTTTCCTCTAGAATTTTGCTTGTGCTGAGCTCTATTCAGTTTCTTTCTATAAAACAAAAACTCCCTAGTCCTTGCCAATGACAAGCATACCCACAACATGGTGCAGCCACCACCATGCTTGAAAATATGAAGAGTGGTATTCAGTGATGTGTTGTGTTGGATTTGGCCCAAATATAACGCTTTGTATTCAGTACATCAAGTTAATTTCTCTGCCACATTTTTTGCAGTTTTACTTTCGGCCTTATTGCAAACAGGATGCATGTTTTTGAATATTTTTATTCTGTACAGGCTTCCTTCTTTTCACTCTGTCATTTAGGTTAGTATTGTGGAGTAACTACAATGTTGTTGACCCATCCTCAGTTCTCTCCTATCACAGCCATTAAACTCTGTAACTGTTTTGAAGTCACCATTGGCCTTATGGTGAAATCCCTGACCGGTTTCCTTCCTCTCCCGCAACTGAGTTAGGAAGGACCTCTGTGTCTTTGTAGTGACTTGGTGTTTTGATATACCATCCAAAGTGTAATTAATAACTTCACCATGCTCAAAGGGATATTCAATGTCTGCTTTTTTTTTACCCATCTACCCTTCATTGCGAGGCATTTGAAAACCTGATTTTTATTGTTGAATCTGTGTTTGAAGTTCACTGCTCGACTGAGGGACCTTACAGATAATTGTATGTGTGGGGTACAGAGATGAGGTAGTCATAAAAAAAATCATGTTAAACACTATTATTGCACACAGAGTGAGTCCATGCAACTTATTATGTGACTTGTTAAGCACATTTCTACTCCTGAACGTATTTAGGCTTGCCATAACAAAGGGGTTGAATACTTATTAACTCAGCTTGTCATGTTTAATTCATTTTTTTAAATATCTAAAAACATAATTCAACTTTTACATTATGGGGTATTGTGTGTAGGCCAATGATACAAAATCTCAATTTAATATATTTTAAATTCAGGCTGCAACACAACAAGGGGTGTGAATACTTTCTGAAGGCGCTGTACTGTATATAAAAACCTTTGTCTTTCCAAACTGTTATTAATTGAGGAGTTGATTGATTTGTTCATCAGCTGAATGTTTGGTTGGTCAGTTGTATGATCAGTTTTAGGGATGCATGTTTGGTTGTCTCTCTTTTGAGAAATAAATGGGAAGACAGTTGTTTTATTGTCAAACTGTCTGGTCAGTGTATGTTCTGATGTGTTCTTTGTTCTTCTGTCTTCCTCAGCTGTCTGACTTTGGGCTGTACACCTGTGTGGCCACCAGCTCCAGTGGGGAGACCTCATGGAGTGCCTTCCTGGATGTCAGAGGTATAGTAACAATGTGTCCATTTGATTTACTGTCCCTTCTACACTCTTAGAAAAACAGGTGCTATCTAGAACCGAAAAGGGTTCTTCGGCTGTCCCTGTAGGAGAACCCTTTGAAGAACCCTTTTTGGTTCCAGGTATAACCATTTTGGTTTCCATGTAGAACCCTTCCCACAGAGGGTTCTACATAGAACCCAAAATAGTCCCTGATTGGCAGATGAGTGGCAACCCTGATTAGAAGCTGCTCATCTGTTGTTCTTTACAAATGCAGTTTGGAATGAAAGAAAATGGTACGTACACACTGAAGAAGGCTGTAAAGCCGAAACGTCTGTGTATACTATCTCTGATGCAGTAAAACATTAAAAACATCAAATAATGAAGTAAGCTTTATGCAACATATTTTTGAGTGCGAACCCATTACACCTCTTTGTTTGTCTGAATTCATGTGTTTTACGCACCAGCCAAGCTTCTGGGAGAGCGCCATGGTTCTCTTTTGATTACCCAAAATAGTTCTACCTGGAACCAAAAAGGGTTCTCCTATGGGGACAGCCAAATAACCCTTTTGGAACCCTTTTTTCTAATAGTGTACACACCATTGATTGAAGCCATCCACCTAATGCGTTCCTTTCTCCTTCAATCTGCCTTGTCCAGTGAAAGAGCCTGTTCTCCTTTTCTCCATCTCAGAGTCCAATGACCTCACAGACTCCATGTCCCACAATGCCAGTGCCCTACCAGGGCCTCCTTCCAAGCCAGAGGTCACTGATGTCACCAAGAACACTGTCTCATTGTCATGGGAACCTGGGCCCGAGGAGGGCTCCACAATCTCCTCCTATGTCATTGAGGCCTTTGGGTATGTCTGGGAACCTTGGTCCTTAGCGAAGCTGCAGTAAATTACCCCAAACTTTCAGAACAATGACAGATGTATGCATTTATGTGGGCATAAGGGTAACTGGCACGTTCAGGGCAAGCACATACATCCTAGGGCTATTGCAGAATAGTCTGTATACAAGAATAATGTACAGTCCAACAAGGTTGATCAGGGTTTATTTGAACCACTAAAAAGTGTTTAGGTTTGGTTTCAGACTAGAGTTGCAGATGTCTTGATTTTGCTAGTTAAATTAGCTAAGTGAAAAACAATAGGACTACTGTAGCTATGGAACGCTATTACCGTAAAAGCTTTTCTTGGCTTCACTAAATATCTTCCTCCTGTTTTCTCTTTGAGCAGTCAGCTTGTCAGCAACAGCTGGCAGACTGTGGCTGACCACGTGAAGACTACACAGTTCACGGTCAAGGACCTGCGACCCAACACGGTCTACCTGTTCATCATCAGAGCGGTCAACGCCCAGGGTCTCGGAGACCCCAGCCCCATGTCTGAGCCTGTCCGCACCCAAGGTACTGTACCCAACCAACCACTCTTGCCATTATAACATTTTCATAAGGTTTTGATTGCAATTGGCATCATCCTCTTTCTCTCTCTCTCTCTCTCTCACTTTCTCGCTCTCTCTGTCTCTGTCACTCTCTCACTTTCTCTCTCTCTTTCTCTCTCTCTCTCTCACAGACATCAGCCCTCCGGTGCAGGGTGTCGACCATCGACGTGTCCAGAAGGAGCTGGGTGATGTGGTGGTCAGCATGCACAACCCTGTGGTCATCAGCTCCACCTCTGTCCAAGTCACATGGACTGTGAGTACAACTGATATGAATCTATACTATGAATTGTTTTTATTGTTGCTTGTCGACAGAATTGCAGTTAACAGTTTGACCATCTTTAATGGGACTCAACAAACACACTTTAACTTAACATTTTGACTTGCAGAGCCCAATTATTAATTTATTTATAGATGTCACAATGAGGAACTAGTATGAGTAGGTTTGGTATGAACCAGGGTGCGTTGTCTCTGTGGTGAGTTATTATTCTCACTGAATCAAACAGGCAGTATAGAATCTGAAGAGCTGAATAGCGAGAGAGATGAGCCTTGTACAGCATTAGGATAGTTCAGGAACAGAGCCAGCTCCAAGCCTTTGCTTATCTCCAAGCTTCATACACACAGTTTGAGTTTAGTTTTTCATACAGAATGCTGTGTGTTTTCCACTGTCTGTTCTCAGTTGGCACACGCACACACACACACACATGCATAAACACACACACGCGTGCACACACACACAGTGCGAGTGTCTGAGACAGGTGGACGTGGAGTCCAGGGACAGCTGATGTTCCATCAATCTGTGATTGTTTGAGTGACGCAGGAATTAAGACAAATGTTTCTCACTGAGACAAATAGATCACCATTAGCGGCAACATGTTGTGTTCTCTCTTTTGGAAGCGGTTTGCAGTCAGCTCTTATCTGGAGGTTATTCATATTTTCCCTTGGCAAGATGTCCCATCTGCCTTCTGGAGAGCACTGCTTAATGACAGAGGCTCTTCCATTCCACACACAAGTACACATACAGCAGTGGCGGTCGGTGACATTTAAGATTTTTTATTTATTTATTTCACCTTTATTTAACCAGTTAAGCCAGTTGAGAACAAGTTCTCATTTACAACTGCGACCTGGCCAAGATAAAGCAAAGCAGTGTGGAAAAAACAACAACAACACAGAGTTACATATGGAATAAACAAAACGTACAGTCAATAAGACAATAGATGAGGGAGGACGATTGGCCTTATTTCTATTATATAATGGATGACTGTCATTCATGTTCCATTCACCCAGCTCAATGTAACATCGATAGGTTTAGGCTACTACAAGATACTCAAATTTTCCCTATACCCATAATTAGGTTGCTACAACCTAGCCTATGAATGAACGTTTACAATGTAGGTGCACAGGTCAAGAGAAAATTTAGAGTAATCTAGGTGACAGACAGTGACACATTCATCACCGCCTTGCACACTATTGCCTGCATCTAGCTGATCTAGGGTGTAATCATTAGTCCAACAGTTGCAAATGAGAATTTGTATTGGACAAATGCAGGTACTGTATGTTTATCCCCATTTCGTTCCGTTTGCTTACGTTTAAGAAACTTTTTTCAATAGAATCGGCAGAATGAATACACCCCTGATCATACGCAAACACAGATCACTTTCATAGCAGCCACATACAAACATGATCATTTTGCTCGTTGTAGAATTACTTCTCACATCTACGTGCTCTCCTCCTCTCACCTTTTCCCTTCGCATGTGGACTTCAGTGTACAACACATCAGTTGCCTGTGACCAGGTGAAAAAACCTTTCCAAGCCAAACCTTCAAATCATAACCACTAACCGCTACACACAGCCTAGATAGTTAGCTAACGTCATAGCTAGTCAACATACTGTAGCCACTAGAACTAACGCGTTAGTAAACCCACTACAATCATGCAGTAAATTAGTAAAACCAAAATCTTATCTTGGAAGAGTTCCAGTGTTGGATAGCCATAGCCAGCTAGCTAACATAGCATCTCTCTCTGTTTGAGTAGGCTAAAATAGATACCTGCATTCGCTAGTTAAGTGAAAGTTAAATAAAATACAATGAAATATAGCTCTCTCTCTCTCTCTCTCTCTCTCTCTCTCTCTCTCTCTCTCTCTCTCTCTCTCTCTCTCTCTCTCTCTCTCTCTCTCTCTCTCGCTTCTCCTTCATTTTAGTATAAATTAATTTGTTAAAAACTGTTGCAACTATTCTCTTTCTCTCTCTTTGAGTCAACTACTCAACACATTTTATGCACTGCAGTGCTAGCTAGCTGTAGCTTATGCTTCCAGTGCTAGATTAATTATCTGATCATTTGATTGGGTGGACAACATGTCAGTTCATGCTACAAGAGCTCTGATAGTTTGGAAGTCGTCCTCCGGAAGTTGTCATAATTACTGTGAAAGTCTATGGAAGGGGATGAGAACCATGAGCCTCCTAGGTTTTGTATTGAAGTCAATGTACCCAGAGGAGGACGGAAACTAGCTGTCCTCCGGCTACACCATGGTGCTACCCTACAGAGTGCTGTTGACGTGAATATATTTAGTATATTTTTATCTAAAAAGGATAACTTTTGTAATGTTTCACTATTTTTATTTTATACAATTCACTGAAGATGATGGTCCTCCCCTTCCTCCTCTGAGGAGCCTCCACTGACATACAGTACCAGTCAAAAGTTTGGACACACCTACTCATTCAATGGATTTTCTACATTGTAGAATAATAGTGAAGAAATCAAAACTATGAAATAACACATATGGAATCATGTAGAAACCAAAAAAGTGTTAAACAAATCAAAATATATTTGAGATTTTATATTATTCAAAGTAGCCACCCTTTGCCTTGATGACAGCTTTGCACACTCTTGGCATTCTCTCAACCAGCTTCACCTGGAATGCTTTCCAACATTCTTGAAGGAGTTCCCACATATGCTGAGCACCTGTTGGCTGCTTTCCCTTCACTCTGCGGTCCAACTCATCCCAAACCATCTCAATTGGGTTGAGGTCGGGTTATTGTGGCCAGGTCATCTGATGCAGCACTCCATCACTCTCCTTCTTGGTCAAATATCCCTTACACAGCCTGGAGGTGTGTTGGGTCATTGTCCTGTTGAAAAACAAATGATAGTCCCACTAAGTGCAAACCAGATGGGATGGCGTATCGCTGCAAAATGCTGTGGTAGCCATGCTGGTTAAGTGTGCCTTGAATTCTAAATAAATCACTGACAGTGTCACCAGCAAAGCACTCCCACACCATCACACCTCCTCCTCCATGCTTCACGGTGGGAACCACACATGCGGAGATCATCCGTTCACCTACTCTGCGTCTCACAAAGACACGGCGGTTGGAGCCAAAAAATCTCATATTAGGACTCATCAGACCAAACGACAGATTTCCACCGGTCTAATGTCCATTGCTCATGTTTCTTGGCCCAAGAAAGTCTCTTTTTATTATTGGTGTCCTTTAGTAGGGGTTTCTTTGCAGCAATTCAACCATGAAGGCCTGATTCACGCAGTCTCCTCTGAACAGTTGATGTTGAGATGTGAGACTCTGTGACACATTTATTTGGGCTGCAATTTCTGAGGCTGGTAACTGTAATTAACTTATCCTCTGCAGCCGAGGTAACTCTGGGTTTTCCATTCCTGTGGCGGTCCTCACGAGAGCCAGTTTCATCATAGCGCTTGATGGTTTTTGCGACTGCACTTGAAGAAACTTTCAAAGTTCTTGAAATGTTCGTATTGACTGACATTCATGTCTTAAAGTAATGATGGACTGTCGTTTCTCTTTGCTTATTTGAGCTGTTCTTGCCATAATATGGACTTGGTCTTTTACCAAATAGGGCTATCTTCTGTATACCACCCGTACCTTGTCACAACACAACTGATTGGCTCAAGAAAGAAATTCCACAAATTAACTTTTAAGAAGGCACACCTGTTAATTGAAATGCATTCCAGGTGACTACCTCATGAAGCTGGTTGAGAGAATGCCAAGAGTGTGCAAAGCTGTCATCAAGGCTTAGGGTGGCTTCTTTGAAGAATCTCAAATCTCAAATATATTTTGATTTGTTTAACACTTTTTTGGTTACTACATGATTCCGTATGTGTTATTTCATAGTTTTGATGTCTTCACTATAATTTTACAATGTAGAAAATAGATAAAATAAAGATGAGTAGGTGTGTCCAAACTTTTGACTGGTACTGTAAATACACTTACACACATACGTACACACATGCACACACTCCATATGCTTCAGCACGGGTGCCTTGAGGTCATTTTAACATTATTGGGTATCTGGGCTCTTCGAGAAAGGGATTTGCATAGTGCTGCATAGCACCATTGTTTCGTTTATCAGATGGTACACTAGTTTATAACATGGCTTATTCAAGGGAACAATCAAAAATACCATTCAATTGAAGTTACACTTTGAGATACCATCTACCATCTTCAAACAGTTATATGATAATATTTCTAGTATGTAATTACATTGTAACACAGGCCAGATTAAGTCTCAGAATAAGCATTGTTTTTTATTCTTCACAAATACTATTATTGTCAAGCAAAATCCTTCTCCTACCGTACCCTAGCATAACTGTCTTATAAGACAAGGGAAAACTAAACATAATGGGCTTGTTTATGATATTTACTCCCACTTTGGCTGCATCTAGCTGGATCAATCAGTTATATTACAGCTAACGGAGGGAGGGGAGGGGAAAGAGAGAGTGTGGGGGCGGGCGTTCATAAAGCTTATAGATTCACGAATCATATCGTTAATGAAATGCAAGCAGGCAACCGTAGAGGCAGAGCATCGGCAGCATGATTCCATGATTTATTTGGACTGGGCTGACGGTAAACAGCTGCTTTATTTGTCCTGTAAAAGCTTTTGCTTGCTTCTGCCCCTGTTAACAAGCCATTACTGTGAGTTATGTTGCACACTCCCTCCCCAGACCCCACCTCTGCAACTTTCCCCCGCCATAGTAATGCGATTTGTTTACAGAAAAGGATCATGTGCGGTTTTAATCCACTCTGTCAGTCAGGGTGTAAGAGCTTCGTAGCTCTCTGTTTTGCTGGTTTGGTTGGCATGTGGTGTATTTAAATGGAGAGGAAGTAGTTACTATGACTCACAGTCGATATGATTTAGCTGTTGAAGAAGAAATGTTCTTATATCATTACGTTATTGAAAAATCCCTTTAAAAATCCTCAATATAAATCATCTCCTCTTCTTCCTACCCTCCTCTTTCTCTCTCCTTTCCCTCCTTCAGGTGGAGAACCCTTCCCAGTTCATCCAGGGCTATCGTATTCTGTACAGGCAGACATCAGGCCTGCCCTCCCCGGGGGCCTGGCAGGTGCAGGACCTCAAGGTCCCCTCAGAGAGAGACGTGGCTCTGTTTGGCCTGAAGAAGGGTGTTGTCTATGAGATAAAAGTGCGTCCGTACTTCAATGAGTTCCAGGGAGCAGACAGTGAATCAATGACAGCACGCACCTTGGAGGAAGGTAAAGGACCTTTACCGACTCAATATGTGTAGTGACGCAACAAAAAGATATTGCCAACTGTGTAGGAGGTATTATTTTCAGGAAACTCCTGAAATTGTTTTACATCAATGCTACTTGTTTGCTACATCAGGTAATGGCCACATACTGTACCTAGAAGCTGATACAGAATGTCATTACACACCCACACACACTCTCTGCAAACAGACACACTCAAGAGAAGACACACAAATACAGAGTGATGCGGTGGCATCTCCCCTGTGGCAGAACTCTGAGACATCTCTGCTCTGAAGCGGGGGAGGCTGTTTCCTGTAACACCAGCTCAAACATTTACATTTTAGTAATTTAGCAGACGCTCTTATCCAGAGTGACTTACAGTTAGTGAGTGCATACATTTGTTTAAATATTTTTTTTATACTGGTCCCCCGTGGGTAACAAACCCACAACCCTGGCGTAGCAAACGCCATGCTCTACCAACTGAGCTACACGGGACCTCTGCTTCTCTCACCTGCATCTCTCCCTGTTCCTCTTTCTGCTCTCCCTGGACACCTGCTGTAACATCGCCTGCCATGCCCCTGTTGCATACAACATTCATGCTGTGATTTTATGAGGTTACCTTCCTCCCTCCAACCCTTCTCTTTCTTTCTTTCTTTCTTTCTTTCTTTCTTTCTTTCTTTCTTTCTTTCTTTCTTTCTTTCTTTCTTTCTTTCTTTCTTTCTTTCTTTCTTTCTTTCTTTCTTTCTTTCTTTCTTTCTTTCTTTCTTTCTTTCTCTCTCACTCTCTCTCGCCGCCTCTCCATCATATACATGCATAAATTAAACGTCTCAAACATTGATGTCAGTCAGAGGTTTGAACAGAAGCTCAAGTTACATGGGTGTCTCAGGTTAAGATTCAGCCTGCAGATGTCCGCTATCTGTTTTAATCCCCATACATCCTTTGAAGGTGAAGGGTCTGAGTGGTCTAGCTGCCCACACAGGGGATCAAGAGTGTTTTGTAGATCTCAAACGATTGGACTTGGGGTTGCCATAGTGTCACTTAGCACATGACGCGGCACACCACGGGTCACATTTCTGCCGCCGATACATCACAGAGCTAATGGACTTATTAGCATCTCTTTTATTACTGTACACCAGAATGGAGTGCTTTCATTTAGCTCAGATATGCATAATGCGCGCCTTTGTGTGTTGGCCGTGATTCATTAACATGAAGGCCAATAGTATTGTGTAGCATTAGAGATTCTAATTGGCTGTTCAACTAGATGGATTGCTATAGTAGATCCCCCTAAACCTATGAAGGCCCCAAGAGACCTCTGGTACTTTGTTACTCTGTTGCAACTTTAAAAGAGAGAAAAGGGAATGAGAAATTAGAAAAAGCAAAATGTAAGTATACTCTAAGGAATGAAGGTTGGAGAGAGGAAGATAAAGAGAGATATAGTCAGGAAGCATGAAGTGTATAGAGTGCTGTCATTTCTGTATGTGGTGGTGGCTCCCCCAAGCAGCAAATGACAATGCCACTGCTTTAACATATTTTGGCTTTAACACATTTTGTTAATGCAGTGGCATTGTGCTTTGCTGCTGCTACAGAGAAAGCCTGCCTCACTGAATTATTTTAATATAAATCAAGGCAGTGCTCTCTGTTGTGCTCTGGCAAACAGCAACGGCAGGCAGCAGCAGCAGCAGTTTTCTGTTGGAATGAGAATATCGGTATGTGGTAATATTTATGTTGATGTGTTTTGTTTTGTTGTGTCTCCCCATGCAGCACCCAGCGCTCCTCCTCAGCAGGTGACAGTGCTGACAGTGGGGAACCATAACAGCACCTCCATCAGTGTGTCCTGGGACCCCCCTCCCACAGACCACCAGAACGGCATCATCCAGGAGTACAAGGTAGGGAACAGCCATCTGTATAGGAGACAGTAGAGTCTTATATTGAGAAGAAAGGCTCTGGTATACAGGTTCACTGTATGTGTATTGTGTATAAATATTACAATACATTTTTACATTGCACTGTTGAGGAACCTTGCTAGTAAGCATTTTATTACACTGTTTACCTGTGCCAATAAACTTTGATTTGATTTAAAATTGGGTATCAACTGTCTCTCATCACAAATTCCTGTCCCTGTCCCTGTGTGTGTGTGTGTGTGTGTGTGTGTATGTGTGTTAGATCTGGTGCCTGGCAAATGAGACCCATTTCCATGTGAATAAGACGGTGGATGCGGCCATCCGTTCGGTGGTGGTGGGGGGTCTGCAGGCGGGGGTGCAGTACCGTGTGGAGGTGGCGGCAGGCACCAGCTCTGGGGTGGGAGTGAAGAGCGAGCCCCAGCCTATTATCATAGGTAACACACAAACACACAGGGTACAGGGTCTAAGGCAACCCACATAATAGCAGGGAACCCTAATCTGATTCACAGGCAGGCGGTCCGGAAGAAGGATTGATCAATTTATTGCGCTTGGAAATAAGATGATTGTGCATTGTCGGAGATAACATGTGTACGGTTTGAAACGAGGGGTTCAGTGAATTCTGTAAGGCATGCTCCATACATAGCGCTCTATCAGGAAATCAATAGCAGTTCATTTAGTGTAGGGTCCAGTAACAATGTGGTGAGTGCTGTTAGCCATAATAATAATCCTCGATATCTGTGTGGCCATCGCTAAAAATTGTAGACAGTGTTATTGGGGTGGGTTTATCATCCTATCACATCTAATCAAACAGCTGAAGGATGCGCTGAGTATATAGGCCTAAAATCAATATCAGAACCAGGCCAGACGCTCTTCATCCGTGACTTTTGACTGATGTGTGGAGAAAATATCCTTAACGGCCAGAGACAGGCAAACAGAGGCCTGTGGACTAAGGCTTAATGACTGGGACTGGTGCTCCTGCTCACGCTGGAGACTGTGAATCTAATTTCACAGCACAGTAGCTGCAGCAGAAAATCAAAATCTGTCTGATCTGCTCTGTCAATCTCCTGTCTCGGAGCTCAAATTGATGAGAGCACTGCTGAATTGATGAACTCTCTGCCCACATATTGCAGTTTTTTATGGTTTCGATGGTGTGTTTTTTATTTGATATTCTTTATCTATAGTGTTTCATAGTGTTGTATTGCTTTAACCCTAGAATATAACTGTAACGTGATTGTATCTTTCGTATAGAGTTTATTGTTTTTAAATCATATAGTATATTTTGATATTAACTATTGATAAACATTGATTTTAATCGCTTTTGAGAGATGTTATCCGTTGACTGGTTTAGGTCTACTGGACAACAAAGCACTATCCATCCACCAGATGCCATGGTGTCAATCTGATGGGTGTCTCTTGTCCCCTGTCCCCTCCTGTCTGTCCCCAGGTGCAGAGCTGCGTGATGTGATGAAGGGGGCGGAGGGCAACAACAGCATCTCAGACGTGGTGAAGCAGCCGGCCTTCATCGCTGGGCTGGGAGGGGCCTGCTGGATCGTCCTCATGGGCTTCAGCGCCTGGCTGTACTGGAGGAGGAAGAAGAGGAAGGGCCTCAGCAACTACGCAGGTCAGAACCACTATATACTGTTACGGATACAGGCCTGAGTTATATCAACAGAGATCAGAGACACTATGCAGGTCAGAACCACTATATGCTGTTACAGATACAGGCCTGAGTTATATCAACAGAGATCAGAGACACTACGCAGGTCAGAACCACTATATACTGTTGCAGATACAGGCCTGAGTTATATCAACAGAGATCAGAGACACTATGCAGGTCAGAACCACTATATACTGTTGCAGATACAGGCCTGAGTTATATCAACAGAGATCAGAGACACTATGCAGGTCAGAACCACTATATACTGTTGCAGATACAGGCCTGAGTTATATCAACAGAGATCAGAGACACTACGCAGACACATTACAGAGTAGATAAGCTTTACCAACTATCTTTAGAGGATGTGTCTAGCGTGAGTTAGTGGAATCCCAGAGGTAATAGACAGAGGTGTTTTGGCTTGATGGTGTATCATTTAATGCACAACAAAGGTAGAGATATTCAATTCAGACGGAAATAAGTCCTATTTGCCTTAATCCATTGTGCACCTATGTGCATCGGCTGTAAACACAATCCCATCAAAACTTCACCTTAAGACTCAAATACACTTATTTGAAATAAGTAATTCACATTCCCTTTCATTATGTGACCGTGACCCATATTGTTCACACATTAGCCGTAAATGCATTCTCCAGATTTAGGTACGCAATTTTTTCGATCGGCCCTCCGAGGGGGAGGGGGGAGGGAGACTATTGTCATTATAATGTGTATTGCTATCACCATGCTTCAGTGGCTGGGGTGGAAACCATGTTGATTACCTAATTCAATAGTGATTTACTTTATTCACCATCGCTGCTCCTCTGATCCCACCTTTTCTCAGAGCAAATGTATCTTCAATATCCAGTTGAATGTTTCTGTCTCCGTTTTTGCTGCCTGCTTTGTATTTCTCATCCATACTCTAGTTATTCTTTGTCACATTTTTCCTGATGAAAATATGACTACCATCGTCAAAAGGATGGTGTTTGCATCTTTTTTATGTCTGTGGCTGTGTTCATGTTTGTTTATGCTGATGTTACATCGATTGTGTCGACACTACAGTGTCGGCAGGCTTTTAACACACACACACTGTCTTTTTGTTTTGCAGTTCAGTCCTTCACCTTTACCCGTGCAGGTATTGACCATTTGTCCTGTCTTGTCACCTAACTTTGGATATTGGGCTATAGCACTAGAATATGTTTTGAGAATATATATGATAAAAATATATAACAGCTTGAAACACATTCAATCTTAACAGAGCACTCTTCTGATTAAAATTCTTCCCTCTCTCTCTCTCTCTCCCTGCTCCTTGCCATCTCTCTCTGGTTGGACCACAGTGACATTCCAACGAGACAGAGGCCTGATTGGAAATGGAAGGTGAGGATCACACCTCTGTCTATAACCTTTCCATAATACAATCAAAATCCTTATTAAGTCATTCAACCCTCCCATCACTCAAACACATTGGCATGCAGAGATTACAGTAGCAAATAAATATTAGAAGTGATGATCCATCCGTCCATCCATGGTGTGATGATGGAACTTGATCAACCTTCATGGAGGGCACAAAGTCATTGGAATATGAATTCACTTCCTATATGTTCCAACGCTCCTCCACTTATTCATCCTGGTGCAACACATGGTTTGATGTATCGATTGATTGAGTCATCAATTACTCCCGTGAAATTATCAGAAACGATGAATGCAGGCAGAGCAGGTTTTTTTATTGGCTCGTTCATCCTGTGCGGTGGGGCTGGTGGCGGCATTGCCAGGGGGTGATGAATTTGCCTGTCGACTGACAGGCTGCCGCATGGCTCACAGCACACCTCCAGAATGCAAGCATATGTAATGATGTAAAGTGATAATGACCCAGGGGATAGGGGCCGGAGAGGAGACTCCCCAGTCCCACTGAACCCCAGGCAGGCAGGCAGGCAAATCAAATCAAAGTTTATTGGTCGCATCCACCGTTTTGCAGATGTTATCGCAGGTGCAGTGAAATGATTATTAATGCTTTCAGACACTGGCAGTATAGGAATGTAGATCACCCCTGTCTTCTACAGCTAGTCTAGTGTGGTCTGTCTTACAGAGATACTGTCACGATCGTTGACGAACGGGACGGACCAAGGCGCAGCGTGATATGCATACATGTTTATTTATATAGAATAAACACCACGACAAAACAACAAATGAAACGAAACGTGAAGTCCAAGGTAGACAAACAACATACCTCACACGGAACAAGATCCCACAACCCACTAGTGCCAATAGGCTGCCTAAGTATGGTCCCCAATCAGAGACAACGAGCGACAGCTGCCTCTGATTGAGAACCACACCGGCCAACATAGATCTAGACATACTAGATTCTACAACAATGAACAAACACAACACCGAATATACACACCCTGACTCAACAAATAAACGTCCCCTGAGTCAGGGCGTGACAGTACCCCCCCCCAAAGGTGCGGACTCCGACCGCGCCACATAAACATAACAGGGTAGGGGCCGGGTGGGCATTCCGCCTCGGAGGCGGATCCGGCTCCGGGCGTGACCACCACCTATTCTCCGCCTCCCTGTTGCGCCCCTGGTCAGGTCTGGACCTCGGCGCGCTGCTTCCCCTCTCCTTCCTCCCACGAAGTACCAAGCCCTGTCTGGACCCTGGTGTGGGAGACCCCGAACCTGGAGAGAGGCTAACGTCTGGGTCTGGACTGGAACCACTGACTGGAGCTGGACCCGACGACGGTGGAGCGAACTGCTCTGGCTCCGGAGTGGAGCCGCTGACCGGAGCTGGATCAGGCACCGGTGGAGCGGACTGCTCTGGCTCCGGAGTGGAGCCGCTGACCGGAGCTGGACTGGACCCCGGTGGAGCGGATTGCTCTGGCTCCAGAGTGGAGCAGCTGACCGGAGCTGAACTGAGCACCGGTGGAGCGGACTGCTCTGGCTCCGGAGTGGATCCGCTGACCGGAGCTGGACTGGACCCCGGTGGAGCAGATTGCTCTGGCTCCGGAGTGGAGCAGCTGACCGGAGCTGAACTGGGCACCGGTGAGACAGGCCGGACCGGGCTGGCGACGCGCCCAACTGGCTTGCTGCGAGGGACAGGAACAGGCCGGACCGGGCTGGCGACGTGCACCACTGGCTTGGTGCGAGGGGCAGGAACAGGCCGGGCCGGGCTGGCGACGCGCATCACTGGTTTAGTGCGAGGGACAGGAACAGGCCGGACCGGGCTGGCGACGCGCACCACTGGCTTGGTGCGAGGGACAGGAACAGGCCGGGCCGGGCTGGCGACGCGCATCACTGGTTTAGTGCGAGGGACAGGAACAGGCCGGACCGGGCTGGCGACGCGCACCACTGGCTTGGTGCGAGGGACAGGAACAGGTCGGACCGGGCTGGCGACGCGCACCACTGTCTTGGTGCGAGGAGCAGGAACAGGCCGGGCCGGGCTGGCGACGCGCACCACTGGCTTGGTGCGAGGGACAGGAACAGGCCGGACCGGGCTGGCGACGCGCACCACTGGCTTGGTGCGAGGGACAGGAACAGGCCGGACCGGGCTGGCGACACGCACCACTGGCTTGGTGCGAGTGACAGGAACAGGCCAGACCGGGCTGGCGACGCGCACCACTGGCTTGGTGCGAGAGACAGGAACAGGCCGGGCCGGGCTGGCGACGCACACCACTGGCTTGGTACGAGGCGCAGGAACAGGCCGGACCGGGCTGGCGACGCGCACCACTGGCTTGATGCGAGGAGCAGGAACGGGTCGGGCCGTACTGGGAACACGCACCACTGGCTTAGTGCGGGGAGCAGGAGCAGGAACGGGCCGGACCGGACTGGCGACACGCACCACTTGCTTGGTGCGAGGAGCGGGACTGGGTTCCTTTATAAACCCCCTTCTGCTGCCTAACCAACTCCTCTCGCCGTGCCTCTACACCTTCCTTCTCCCTTTTTGCCTCCTGTAGCACCTCCCTCTGACTGAATAACTCCAGCTCCCTCTGAACCAATAGCCCCCGTAACCTGGTGGCCTCCTCTCCTAACCTGCAGATCCGCCCTGTCGCGGCCTCCTGCTGCCTCGTCGTCCACACCGTGTGCCCCCAAAAAACATTTCTTGGGGTTGCCTCTCGGGTCTCCGTCGTCGGCACGGTTGGCGCCGTTTCTCCTCTCCTGCCTGGGCATTTACCTTCGCCCATGGCCCTTTCCCCGCAAATATCTCCTCCCATGACCACAATTTGCCCACCTGTGACATCGCTACTCGCTCTTCCTGGGCACGCTGCTTGGTCCTCGTTTGGTGGAATCTTCTGTCACGATCGTTGACGAACGGGACGGACCAAGGCGCAGCGTGATATGCATACATGTTTATTTATATAGAATAAACACCACGACAAAACAACAAATGAAACGAAACGTGAAGTCCAAGGTAGACAAACAACATACCTCACACGGAACAAGATCCCACAACCCACTAGTGCCAATAGGCTGCCCAAGTATGGTCCCCAATCAGAGACAACGAGCGACAGCTGCCTCTGATTGAGAACCACACCGGCCAACATAGATCTAGACATACTAGATTCTACAACAATGAACAAACACAACACGGAATATACACACCCTGACTCAACAAATAAACGTCCCCTGAGTCAGGGCGTGACAGATACGTAGCTCTGAATATCACTGGCTGAATATCACTGGCTGAATATCACTGGCTGAATATCATTGGGCACTGACTCAGTGAGAATGAAGAGAGATCCTCCAGGAGCTAGGGATCAGACTCTTCCTCTCCCTCTGTCTTTCTCTCTGCTTTCTTGTGTTTCTTCTATTTCCTCTCTCTTTCTCTACTTTGTCACACCTGAGCAGGCAGATCCAGTCCTGAGCTGAAACAAATGTAGCAAAACAAATACGCTAAAAACAAACTGTGCGTTGTGTTGCCTGAGTCCACAAGTGTGTATTTGTGTGTGTATGTGTGTGCGTGCGTGTGTATTATTGGATGTGTGTGTCTGTGTAAATTTGTGTGAACATGCCTGTGTGATTTAATATGGAAATTACTCCCATACTTGTTTAAACACCTTTAAAGCCATCACAAGTCAGATGTGTACAATTCCCTGAGCGCTTGGCAGGCTTGGCTCACAGGGAAATGCATTTGTGGACTACTGCATGAATTAACCAAATGCAAACAAAGGCATGTGAGGCATGTGACTGAGGACTCTCTTTATACCAACAACTAGATAAGGTAATAGGGTAAAAGCATGGATATAAAATTGTGAAAAATACAGATACAGTATATGATCTTAATTTGATCACTGTTGTTGCTGAGAATTTTCTTGAGCCGCAGGAAATAAAGATGAGCTTTGTGATTTACATAAAACCCACACTAACACATTATATTAACAGCATTTGCACTTTTCATGTAGCCTCATTTTGACCAGCTAACCACCGACCATGGCATCCTAACCACCGATCAAGTGACACTAAATGTTCAAATCCTGTTGCTGCAGGATTATTTTTCTGTGACAATACAGGTCAAATTAAGTACCTTTATCTGTTCATTATTCTACTCCTAGTAACAAAATATAATATAATAAATATTTCTGTATTTATTTCAGACAATGGAGTGAAATTGCCAATTTCCTGTGCAATATGGGAGAGGTGGTTTCACCAAACCATCCTATGAGCGTTGCCGGTTGTGTTGCTATGGAGACACTACCCAACTTCCCCGGGCTGGCAGGCTAACCGCCAGAAGGCCCTCCATGATTCTACATTTAAAATGGAAATTTCTGTAGTGCTGGGCTCTAAAACTGATTTAATGTCTGTGCATTTAGTCCTGGTCCATTTCCCCAGGGGAGTTTAGGGGCACTAAAGCCCAGCACTGATTTGTAGACTTGTCAGTTTTTTATGTCTCTCTGTTTGCTTGTTTATTGTTGCCTCTACTCCAGGCTGCTCCCGAGGAGCAGATATGCTGAATGAGGTTCCACAGCAATTTGTTGTTGAACCAGTCGGTATAACAACATGTGAGAAAATGAATAATATCGCTGGGATTCAGACAGCACCAGAGTTTTGCCTAATAACAATCTCACATTCCCTCCCCTCTCTCCCATTCTCTCTATGTATCACTTCTTTCTCCCGCCCTCTCCTCTCTATATATCTCTCTAAAAACAGTCATCCTGGTCTGCTGAAAGCCGGTGACCCAGGATTCCCCTGGTTGGCTGACTCCTGGCCCTCCACCAGCCTGCCAGCAAATGGGGGCTTGGGAGGTACCAAGGACCGAGGAAACTTTGGCAGAGGAGGTAAGAACACAGAGATATCACCCCTGGTCAAACAGAACCAAACCCAGGGAACTAGAGAATTGAGGTTGAGAGAGGGCTGACCCAGACCCTCCCAGCTGACCAAGGTGTCACACTATGCCACGGCCACACCACGGCCCAACAGTGAGGCCAGAGGTCAGAGGTCAGGTGCCCAGAGTGAGAGGCTGTTAATACATGTATGAGCTGCATGCATTATTCAGTGTGGAGGGTATACTTCAGCAGGCACACTGACAGGCTGTCACACACACTTCGGACTCTCAGTCTCTCTGGATCACGCTACCTATCTCATCACTATTGGCTTTTTAAAAAAACTGACAAGAACTTTGATGGGAGTGTGTATGTGTTTCTTCCGTCTGTGCATGATTGGTTCAATACACTTTTATACTAGCTGAATAATAATCATAATCATAAGAATCATAATAATCATAATAATTAAACCTGTAAGCAGCGTTGCCGGGGTTCAAGCTAGGTCAATCAATAAATCAAATTGATTTATAAAGCCCTTCTTACATCAGCAGATGTTACAAAATGCTTATACAGAAACCCAGCCTAAAACCCCAAAGAGCAAGCAATGCAGATGTAGAAGCACGGTGGCTAGGAAAAACTCCCTAGAAAGGCAGGAACCTAAGAAGAAACCTAGAGGAGCCAGGCTCTGAGGGGTGGCCAGTCTTCTGGCTGTGCCGGGTTGAGATTATACAGTGAGGGAAAAAAGTATTTGATCTCCTGCTGATTTTGTACATTTGCCCACTGACAAAGAAATGATCAGTCTATAATTTTAATGGTAGGTTTATTTGAACAGTGAGAGACAGAATAACAACAAAACAATCCAGAAAAACGCATGTCAAAAAGGTTATAAATTGATTTGCATTTTAATGAGGGAAATAAGTATTTGACCCCTCTGCAAAACATGACTTAGTACTTGGTGGCAAAACCCTTGTGGCAATCACAGAGGTCAGACGTTTCTTGTACCTTCAGCTCCCTCCACAGATTTTCTATGGGATTAAGGTTTGGAGACTGGCTAGGCCACTCCAGGACCTTAATGTGCTTCTTCTTGAGCCACTCCTTTGTTGCCTTGGCCGTGTGTTTTGGGTCATTGTCATGCTGGAATACCCACCCACTACCCATTTTCAATGCCCTGGCTGAGGGAAGGAGGTTCTCACCCAAGATTTGACGGTACATGGCCCCGTCCATCGTCCCTTTGACGATGGACGGTACATGTCCCGTCCCCTTAGCAGAAAAACACCCCCAAAGCATAATGTTACCACCTCCATGTTTGACGGTGGGGATGGTGTTCTTGGGGTCATAGGCAGCATTCCTCCTCCTCCAAACACGGCGAGTTGAGTTGATGCCAAAGAGCTCGATTTTGGTCTCATCTGACCACAACACTTTCACCCAGTTCTCCTCTGAATCATTCAGATGTTCATCGGCAAACTTCAGACAGGCCTGTATATGTACTTTCTTGAGCAGGGGGACATTGCGGGCGCTGCAGGATTTCAGTCCTTCATGGCGTAGTGTATTACCAATTGTTTTCTTGGTGACTATGGTCCCAGCTGCCTTGAGATCATTGACAAGATCATCCCGTGTAGTTCTGGGCTGATTCCTCACCATTCTCATGATCATTGCAACTCCACGAGGTGAGATCTTGCATGGAGCCCCAGGCCGAGGGAGATTGACAGTTCTTTTGTGTTTCTTCCATTTGCGAATAATCGCACCAACTGTTGTCACCTTCACACCAAGCTGCTTGGCGATGGTCTTGTAGCCCATTCCAGCCTTGTGTAGGTCTACAATCTTGTCCCTGACATCCTTGGAGAGCTCTTTGGTCTTGGCCATGGTGGAGAGTTTGGAATCTGATTGATTGATTGCTTCTGTGGACAGGTGTCTTTTATACAGGTAACAAACTGAGATTAGGAGCACTCCCTTTAAGAGTAACCCTCAATAAAAAATGTCAGTGTCCAGAATGTCCCCATAGATCCAAGTTTCAATCAATACCAGAATATCTGGATTCGTCTGCATAGCCCAGATCTTGATGTAATCTAGTTTAGGAAGTAAGCTCCTAATGTTAAGACGCATCAACTCAAGTCACATGGAAAATCCAACTCAAACAAGCTACGTTCAATAGGAGGTTGCAGGCCCTGTCTTTTTTTTCTTTTTTTTTCACCTTTATTTAACCAGGTAAGCCAGTTGAGAACAAGTTCTCATTTACAACTGCGACCTGGCCAAGATAAAGCAAAGCAAAGCAGTGCAATAAAACAACAACACAGAGTTACATATGGGGTAAAACAAAACATAAAGTCAAAAATACAACAGAAAATATATATACAGTGTGTGCAAATGTAGCAAGTTATGGAGGTAAGGCAATAAATATGCCATAGTTCAAAATAATTACAATTAGTATTAACACTGGAATGATAGATGTGCAAGAGATGATGTGCAAATAGAGATACTGGGGTGCAAATGAGCAAAATAAATAACAATATGGGGATGAGGTAGTTGGGTGGGCTAATTTCAGATGGCCTGTGTACAGGTGCAGTGATCGGTAAGATGCTCTGACAACTGATGCTTAAAGTTAGTGAGGGAGATAAGAGTCTCCAGCTTCAGAGATTTTTGCAGTTCATTCCAGTCATTGGCAGCAGAGAACTGGAAGGAATGGCGGCCAAAGGAGGTGTTGGCTTTGGGGATGACCAGTGAGATATACCTGCTGGAGCGCATACTACGGGTGGGTGTTGCTATGGTGACCAATGAGCTAAGATAAGGCAGGGATTTGCCTAGCAGTGATTTATAGATGGCCTGGAGCCAGTGGGTTTGGCGACGAATATGTAGTGAGGACCAGCCAACAAGAGAGTGGTGGGTAGTATATGGGGCTTTGGTGACAAAACGGATGGCACTGTGATAGACTACATCCAATTTGCTGAGTAGAGTGTTGGAGGCTATTTTGTAAATGACATCGCCGAAGTCAAGGATCGGTAGGATAGTCAGTTTTACAAGGGTATGTTTGGCAGCATGAGTGAAGGAGGCTTTGTTGCGAAATAGGAAGCCGATTCTGGATTTAACTTTGATTGGAGATGCTTAATGTGAGTCTGGAAGGAGAGTTTACAGTCTAACCAGACACCTAGGTATTTGTAGTTCTCCACATACTCTAGGTCAGACCCGTCGAGAGTAGTGATTCTAGTCGTGTGGGCGGGTGCCAGCAGCGTTCGATTGAAGAGCATGCATTTAGTTTTACTAGTGTTTAAGAGCAGTTGGAGGCTACGGAAGGAGTGTTGTATGGCATTGAAGCTCGTTTGGAGGTTTGTTAACACAGTGTCCAATGAAGGGCCAGATGTATACAAAATGGTGTCGTCTGCGTAGAGGTGGATCTGAGAGTCACCAGCAGCAAGAGTGACATCATTGATATACACAGAGAAAAGAGTCAGCCCAAGAATTGAACCCTGTGGCACCCCCATAGAGACTGCCATAGGTCCAGACAACAGGCCCTCCGATTTGACACATTGAACTCTATCTGAGAAGTAGTTGGTGAACCAGGCGAGGCAGTCATTTGAGAAACCAAGGCTATTTAGTCTGCCAATAAGAATGCGGTGGTTGACAGAGTCGAAAGCCTTGGCCAGGTCGATGAAGACGGCTGCACTATTTTATTCACTTATGTTCAATTGTATTCTTCATACTACAAAATAATATAAAATAATTCCATGGAATTCTAAGCAAATTTTGTCTGCTAAATGAAGTAGTGTAGCCAACAGCCATATGGCATAGCCAGACCAGGGCCTAACATAAGGACAATTCAGAGTATGCTATTCTGTTCTTTTGAAATAGACTACATTTTCTTCATATAATTTTTCTTTAGCCCTGTCTAAAATAAATAATGTATTTATTGTGATGGTGTAGGCTAAATTACATGGATTTATTAGACTTTCAAATATAGATGTTCCAAAGGTCTGCATCAGTGGCTTGTAGGCTATGAGTGGAAGCCAGGAGATGCTAAATGTGTTTATGTTAATTAACGGTCAATTACCATGAGACCGGCAGTTATTTGCTTGACAATCACCGGCTGACAAAATGTAATGTCCACCACAGCCCTAGGTATTACCTGAGCGGGGCTTGATCTGTCTCTGAGTCAATATCTTAACGCAGCCTTGAGAAAATCTAAAAAGAGTCAATCCAAGTGGAGTAGTCCAAAAACATCCAAGGCACAATGTCAAGTGGAAGGATGAAATCAACAGTAGGCAGGTGTCTGCTCAGATAATGCCACAGTGCAGAGTAGGGTGCCAAGGTATATCCAAGTATGCCTCAAGAGTTTCAGCAGACCCGTTTTGTATGTCTCCTTAAAAACACTGTATGCGATATTGCACTGTTTTCCAATGTGTTTACGGCCAGATGAAACAAAGGGAAATGGAGACAAACATCCATGAAAAACATGCTTGCCGCCATCTTGAAAAGTGGGTGTGACCAAAAGTATACCTTTGTTATGAAAGTATACCTTTGGATGTTTTTCAGCAGCAGGGACTGGAAGACTGATAAGGATAGAGGGAACAATGAATGGAGCCAAATACAGGCAAATCCTTGATGAGAACCTGCTTCAGAATGCAAACGACCTTAGACTGGGGCAAAGCTTTATGTTCCAACAGGACAATGACCCCAAGCATACAGCATAAGCAATGCTGGAATGGCTTCAGAACAAGAATGTGAAAGTTCTTGAGTGGCCCAACCAAAGGCCAGACTTGAATCCCATAGAAAATCTGTGGAAAGACTTGAAGATTGTTGTTCACCGCCGCTCCCCATCTAACTTAACAGAGCATGAGAAAATCTGCAAGGAAGAATAGGAGAAAATCCCCAAATCCTGATGTGCAAAGCTGATTCAGACATACCAAAGACGAATCAAAGCTGTAATCGCCGCCAAAGGTGCTTCTACAAAGTTTTGACTCAGGGGTGTGAATACTTACGTAAATTAGATATTTCATTTTCAATACATTTGCTAAAATGTCTA